TAAACAACCCTTTCATGGCAGCTAAGACAATAACTTTTCAATTTTAATTAACACTTACTCAACACATTTTTCTATCTGTAAAGCAACCATATATACAGTACAGGCCAAAAGTTTGGACACACCTTCTCATTCAATGCGTTTTCTTTATTTTCATGACTATTTACATTGTAGATTCTCACTGAAGGCATCAAAACTATGAATGAACACATGTGGAGTTATGTACTTAACAAAAAAAGGTGAAATAACTGAAAACATGTTTGATATTCTAGTTTCTTCAAAATAGCCACCCTTTGCTCTGATTACTGCTTTGCACACTCTTGGCATTCTCTCCATGAGCTTCAAGAGGTAGTCACCTGAAATGGTTTTCCAACAGTCTTGAAGGAGTTCCCAGAGGTGTTTAGCACTTGTTGGCCCCTTTGCCTTCACTCTGCGGTCCAGCTCACCCCAAACCATCTCGATTGGGTTCAGGTCCAGTGACTATGGAGGCCAGGTCATCTGCCGCAGCACTCCATCACTCTCCTTCTTGGTCAAATAGCCCTTACACAGCCTGGAGGTGTGTTTGGGGTCATTGTCCTGTTGAAAATTAAATGATCGTCCAACTAAACGCAAACCGGATGGGATGGCATGTCGCTGCAGGATGCTGTGGTAGCCATGCTGGTTCAGTGTGCCTTCAATTTTGAATAAATCCCCAACAGTGTCACCAGCAAAACACCCCCACACCATCACACCTCCTCCTCCATGCTTCACAGTGGGAACCAGGCATGTGGAATCCATCCGTTCACCTTTTCTGCGTCTCACAAAGACACGGCGGTTGGAACCAAAGATCTCAAATTTGGACTCATCAGACCAAAGCACAGATTTCCACTGGTCTAATGTCCATTCCTTGTGTTTCTTGGCCCAAACAAATCTCTTCTGCTTGTTGCCTCTCCTTAGCAGTGGTTTCCTAGCAGCTATTTGACCATGAAGGCCTGATTCGCGCAGTCTCCTCTAAACAGTTGTTCTAGAGATGGGTCTGCTGCTAGAACTCTGTGTGGCATTCATCTGGTCTCTGATCTGAGCTGCTGTTAACTTGCGATTTCTGAGGCTGGTGACTTGGATGAACTTATCCTCAGAAGCAGAGGTGACTCTTGGTCTTCCTTTCCTGGGTCGGTCCTCATGTGTGCCAGTTTCGTTGTAGCGCTTGATGGTTTTTGCGACTCCACTTGGGGACACATTTAAAGTTTTTGCAATTTTCCGGACTGACTGACCTTCATTTCTTAAAGTAATGATGGCCACTCGTTTTTCTTTAGTTAGCTGATTGGTTCTTGCCATAATATGAATTTTAACAGTTGTCCAATAGGGCTGTCGGCTGTGTATTAACCTGACTTCTGCACAACACAACTGATGGTCCCAACCCCATTGATAAAGCAAGAAATTCCACTAATTAACCCTGATAAGGCACACCTGTGAAGTGGAAACCATTTCAGGTGACTACCTCTTGAAGCTCATGGAGAGAATGCCAAGAGTGTGCAAAGCAGTAATCAGAGCAAAGGGTGGCTATTTTGAAGAAACTAGAATATAAAACATGTTTTCAGTTATTTCACCTTTTTTTGTTAAGTACATAACTCCACATGTGTTCATTCATAGTTTTGATGCCTTCAGTGAGAATCTACAATGTAAACAGTCATGAAAATAAAGAAAACGCATTGAATGAGAAGGTGTGTCCAAACTTTTGGCCTGTACTGTACCTTGCTCTAAACAACACTTACAGGTAAAAAAAAAAATGGCACAAAGTGTTTTTATACATACTTGAGACAAAGTCCTTTCAGTTCATGGCTCTAATTATCAAATATTAAAAGTGTATGGCAATGCGAGACAGGCCTATTACTGTCTTAAATATTTCTTGCTGTTCATTAATTCTAACAACTTAAAACACCCGACTTGAATGTTTTTGTTTTGAAGTCAGATCCACAGGGCGTTTACAGCATTAAAGTCCAAGTCCCACACATCCTCATACATTAATGACATAACAGGTCGTTCACCAATGACTCCAAAATGACCATTAACAGTCACAATCTTAAACACGTGATTAACAGGGTTAGGTTAAGGCAACAAACCTACTTGGTTGAGTTTAAGAAAAGATACAAGTTTGGTTTAAAATAAGCATGTTTGTTATGTTACTTAAGTTACATACATATGTTACACTAAGTAGATCCTACTAGCTTATGTACCCAAGTTAAAATTACTCAACAATGCCTTTTGGTTTCACACAGCACCTGAACTGCAGTCTTGTGGGTCAAAGTCCTGTGTTTGATTGACAATCCACCCTTCACCAAAAACCTCCCCCATGGACTTTGTCACTCTTTCATTGTCACTTTACTTCCTTGTTTGCTCTTGTCATAACTACTACAGCAACTAGAGCTTGCCGCCTGACAATAAATTTGTATATAGGTTGTAGTAAGAGGGGAGGTTCCTACTGATTTATTTCCCTGACATTCTTAAACATAAGTTTAAACTCAGACTAGTTGACTAGTCTTAATGTAAGAAAACACTCTATAGGGTTGAACATTGTCCGAAAAAATACTACGTATATTAAAAGAGACATCTATAATAGTTATTCACATTTTGCAATAACCAAATCGTATTTTAGTTTCCACTACAATGTGTGGCACTTTGCACTGTTTATTATAAACACTGCACGTCCTACAGAGTATGAGCACAATTTAATAAATAAAGGTTACACAATATGTATATATAACTCAAGTTCATAAAAAGAGTTTTTAAGTCAGAAATATAAACACAAAAGTGTAATAAAACATTAAGCTGAAAGGTTTAGAAGAAGCCATTACAGACATGTTAACATCTTTTTAAATCACATCTCCCCTCATCTTTAAATCCAGAATCCAGCATAAATACAGTGATACAGTGGAGCCTCTACAGTACATCGTGCTGTATGCACATCAGAGTACGTGGGCAGCACAGAGAGGGAACAGAGCGGCATGATTTGCCTGCAGCGTGGAGCGGCCTTTTTGAAAAGTGAAGGCATCCGTGTGCTCTCTCACCTCAAGTTACCACTTCATCTCTCCAGCTGAAAACATGCTCATGGACCATAATGCAGCTAATGGGTAGCAATAACCGCACTGTTACAGACACTCACACTGACATTATGGTAACAAGTAAAAAGCACTGGTTTCAATTGTGCAAAATGCAGCAGGTTTTCTCTGAGTGGCAAAGAGAAAAATTATAAGCAGTTGGGAACAAAATGATTACAGAATGTTTTAAGCAGGAAGTGAGGATTGCTGCGGCTTCACTCAGATTTGCATACTTGCAGATTTCACAGTTTTGCCTAAAAGGGCAAACCCACCCACACTTACCATTGTTGTGTTCATCAAATAAGGGGTCTCTAAATTTATACATTGTTCAGATGCAAAGTAGGTGAATATCAATTGTCTGTTTCTCATTGTGAAGTGTAGCAAACTACTGCATGTGTTAAACTGTTGAATATTTTTTTGATTGTGTGTTCTGAATTGTCTCATGCATGTTTGTTAGAAAGCTCTTTTGCATGTTAACTTTATGAGAAATGCTGTTTTATTGTTTTTAAGGTGCCATTTTGACAACTAGTTGAGGACAACACATGAAACAGACTTTTCTTTTTTGTGTTTATCTACGAGAACTGTCCCTTACAAATAGAATAACAAAACACTGACTACTCTGGATAACTTGAGAGCAAATCTTCCAGATGTTGGTTAAAAGGTTAAAAAAGTAACTGTTTTTTTTTCTTTTCTTCTGGTAACAGCATGTAAAAAATTTACAGGAATATTACGAAGAAAGGGCTCATGAGAAACTAGGTGTATTGTTTAGAGAGAGAGAGGTATGAAAGACAAAGTATGAAATGCAACAAAGGTCACTCTGCAGCTCAAATCAAACCACAGCACATGTCAGGCTGATCTCATGCTCCGCTGATACATATACCTACCTGCACAAAAATGTGTATATAACTCACGTAATGGTGAGCCAGTCATTTAAGTACAACCTTCATAATTGGGAATGCTGCAATCATGTGACCAATGTGCTGACGGGAGTAAATAAGTAAGTAGTAGCATTAGGGCTGCCCTCAACTAAGAATTTTCCTAGTCGATAGTCGTCATTTAGGGCCATTAGTCAACCAATAGTCGTCCGCATGTTTACGATATTAATTCAATTATTGAATTACATATTAGGAGCAGGGCAACAAAATGGTTTGAGTTGAAGGTGTGAGAAAGAATAGTATCAGTAACATTGTTAACACTGTGCTACATTACAGAGAAATACAAAAAAGTACTAATGACCCATCATTAATATAGGCCAATATTTTATCTACAAGTGCACGTCAACACACTGAGTGAGCCGCCTGTTAATGACGCTGTGGGCTAATGTGCATGTAGCTATTGACATGTTTCAGATGATACATCGTGTTTGTAGTCGACCAGTGAAGATGAGTTTACATATCACCTTGGGTTCGTCCTTCACCTTCTCAAAATGATCCCACACTTTGGATTTCCTGCCAGACATGTTATTAACTAGCCTGTGGAATAACATTTAGGTTATTTCACATTCACGTATTCATTACGACTAATGACCTTTCTGGTCGACTATTAGGGGGGCAGCCCTAAGTAGTATAAACACTGAAAGGTGTAAGGAGGCAGGTTACAGTGGTGGATGTGTCTAACATCACAGGACTTTCCCCCAGGAGACCAGTGTTAGATGCCATGTGAAATCAAGTGACCTGAGTTATTTTAAAGGAACGTCGTCACCATGTTTCTTTTTCTAAACCTAATCAAAGTAGCTTTACTTGCCTAAATGTAACTTATGTGACTTTCCATTTTTACCATTACAAACCCCTGAACTGACCTGTCAGTATGACCCACTAATACTATTGACCTTCTATCTTTGGCAGCATCACTGTTCATATCCTCTGATGATAATGATGTTAGTGTTTTCAATAACACACACAGCTTCTTGTTAACTGGCGAGGTCCTTACCTTGCAGAGCCTCCTTGGCTCGGTCCAGCTCCTGCTCTTTCTGGGCCAGCTGCACACGGAGCTCAGTCGCGGAGAGCACGTCAGCTGAGCAGCCTCCCTGGGTCTCCTCCAGGTCCTTACTTAACATGTCCTTCATCTGCCGCAGCAGGTGCACCTCCTCCTGGAGCTGGGCCACCTCCTCACGCAGCAGGACTACAACACACAAAGAGCAAAGGGTTTAACAAGCTGTAACCAAAACATGGCTAAATTCATTCTTTGTAAAAATGTGTGTGGTTGTGATTTGCCAGAACAGTTTTTAAGCCAAAGTAACAATGTAATTCTAGTCACTAGAGAAGGGTCATAGGCATACTGAAATCTAATCACACAGAGCTATGTCAGCTTTGAATAGCTACATGACTGAAGAGATGGTTGTGTCTGAAATGCAAAATCGATTTAACATCACCATAGGAGGCTATGTCTTCATTTGTGATTGAGGTAACAGCAGTGCCAAATTACTGTTGGTAATAAGCATCACAGGGGTAGGTTGGGTCCAGTAGATGAGTTGAGACAAGACATTGATATTATAATTAATTTCTTTGCTGCTGCCTGATGAACCTACCCTGTGTATGCAGAAATTATGAGAAAGGGAGAGACGTCCATTTAATATTCAGTGACTGGTGCTTTAAAGATCTCCTCCCTGGCGTTGTCACAAAGACACAAACAAAATGAAAACAGCAGCACAGAGAAATAGATTTTTTTTTCTCACAATTTGACTCACTGGAAATGTTTCAAAGTGCTTTCAAAGAATCAGCAACAGAGAGAGCGTTTCACTCGATTTTAAAACAAGCCACAACAGACAAATGTCACACTTTCAGCTCCCACATCAAAAACCTTGAAAAATAAATATTTAATCTAAAAATGTGTCTTTTTTTTGCACACTGAATGTACTCGTCTAGGTGGAGCATATGGAGAGTAATTCATATAAGGATGAGTTGAGTCATTCTGCTCAATTTCATGCATCCTCAGGGCACAGGGTTGGAGGGGAGGGAAACTTCTCAGCCCCATCTCGCATGGCTCTACAATCAAGTGCCTCGCATAAATCACACTTCATACTCTCACATCCCAGCTCCAATATTACTGTCTGAAAAAATAAAATCAATCAGAGATGAATGGGAGAACTGAGAATAGGGGACTGAATATGCCAAAATACTCAGAGAGGAACAAACCCAAGACAGACTACAGATTACACTTGAGCTTTTTAGTAAAGAGTAGAGTGATTATTTTGCAGTCTGAATGTATACAGAGCAACTTACAGAGCAAGAAGTGGATTTCCAGCTAGTTTGTCAATTCAGCAAAACAGCAAATGCTTTGCATTCTGCAGTCAGTGGAGATAATCCTCTCCTACTGTAAATTATGCCCATTTAATACTGCATGGTGTCTTTCACCATTATTACTGTACTCCATCAGTGAGATTATGAAATCTGTACATGATCATTCAGAAAATGTTAAGCAACTTTACATTTCTATCAAACAAAGCCTGGCTATCACAGTCCAGTATTTTCCACTTAGAATTAACAATAATTAAGTCTCTTTTTGTGAGGTTTTGCTATGTCATATCTCAGAGGAGACAGTACTCCATAGCCCCTTTATACAGTGTGTTCAAGGCGGGAATGTTGCGCTGTTATTCCGCCTTGGTGTTCTGTATAAAAGGCACAAACAAGGAATGGGGGGTTATTGTTGTCCCGCCGTTAAGCCGGCAGTGGAGGTAGTAACAGACCTAAATCAACATCTGTGTAAAACGACACAAGACGCTGCTGTACTACACGTCACGCCTCCTTTGTTTCCAGAATGCTGCATGCTATCTAAAATCACACACTGGGGCAGCATAATACCGTCATCGTTTGGTTCAGAGTAACAAAGCAAAGCCAGCACAATGGCCGGTCTTCTTTATGGCAGAACTGCTGAATCTGTGTTTAAAAAGGGTTGAGGAATATTTTTGTATAGTGTTTCTATGTGCATATGACCCTGGAAGTTTTGAATCTTGCAAAAAGTGCAGACTGGGGTCTGAACAGGGGCCATCTTTTTCCTAAAGTTGAACCTCTAATGTCCCCAAATTGGACAGGTCACACTGTGAGCAACCTGTGCACAGTAACTGAACTGTTGTAGGGAAAAATAGAAATTTTTGTCAAACGCATTGCATTTCCCACTGTCAGGATTTCTGATTAATGTCAATTTTAAGTAGAAGTTAGTCCGACAACAAGTTGCTGGTAAGTCCCTGAACCACAAATGTATTATTATGAAAGTAAGGCATTAAGGCCCAGACACACCAAACCGACATCAAAGAACAAGTGGTGACGAAGGCCGACTGTTGGGTCACCTAATGTTGCCTGTGTCTGCACATGAGCACACCGCATAGACTACAACCACGGCCAACTTGCAGATACGTTTTGTACCTGTATAAGAGGAAATAACAGGACAGATTCAAGACGCTAGTTAGCCAGCACATTAACAACACAACTCGATGTTGAATAAACAAAGGACAGCTACTGTGTAACAAAAAACATTACAAACTGTTTCTGCTAAAGAGCTCAATGGCCAAAAAACATAATCTTCCCCCAGAACAACTTTGGGCTATTTGTTTGCTTTCCTCACATCTGTTTCTCTTCACCAGCACTGAGCTGAACTGCCGATCAGAGTAATTCCCTGATGAGCTTGACCAGCTCCAATGCAGATTCAACACGCTGAATCAGCCAAAAAACATGTGATAAGTGTCGAATACTGCCAAAGGTGCGGGACACATCACAGAAACTTGGGCAACAGATGCTCACTGATGGCCAAACATTGACCAATGGCCAACTGTTGGCTTGGTGTGCCAGATCAAAGGCTCGCGTTTTGCAGGTGGCAAAATGCAAGGCATACCTGCTGTCTATGACTGGGCCGTATAGCTCTGGGTATTCAGCAACTGCTACCACCAGAGGCACTTTTCCGCTTTGAGTTGAAGTTTTTTCAACTCAAAGAGTTTAGAGTTTAGAGCGCAAATACACCAGGTGCCTAGAGCACAGAAATGCAAGGCGTGTAGCAAAGCAAAAAATGCGGGCAAAAAGCTTAATTCTCATTAAAAACAATTACAAAAAGCTGCCTACTGACGCTAAAGTGCTTTTTGTGTGATCCGGGCCTCTACAGGGGGTGTTTCTGTTAGTTTGTGTTTCCAGACAAAATGCAAACACAACATACCTAACAACACAATGCCCCCTGTGACAACACCACCACGAAGAAGGACCTAAAATATTGCACCTGAATTTACCATGATAAGCTTCACAAAGGCAGTATTGCAGTTTTTCTGTGTACTCCCTGAATGTGTCACCAATGTTACATTTATTGTTATTTCAAGTTGCTGCCTGTCATCTGTGTTAATGACATATGTATTTTTGATCCTGTGGTTCGGCCATGACACTAACAGTTACTCCTCACTCCTCTTACAGCAGACCTGTATTGTACTCCCATCTCTCCTCCACAGTTATGATTTATATCTTACATAAGGACAGTAGGGACGGTTCAACACTACAGCAAACTGCGACAACAAACTATAATGGAGAATATGTGGTGTACGCAGCCTTGCTCTGATGCATTTTAAGCATCGCACGGATCACTTTAGCGCTCACCTTTCCTCCCCTGAAACTGAAATGAGCCTTTAAGACCAGTTCACTGCTTGTACGACGTGCACCTGCTTCCCAGGGCTTTTGAGTCCTTTAATTTGTGCTCAGCGACTAAATGTAAGTGGCTGAGGATGAGGGCTGCCTGCTAAATAACGAAAATGAAACGTAAAAAGGGTTATTAGGAGAGGGGTCGAGAGAAAAACGTCAGCGAGTGGAGTGTCATTACACAGAGGTATACTTAATGGAGCCGATAATAGAACCACATTTTACGGAGCAACTCAAGCAGCAACACCCTTATTGGCAAACCAAAGAGCTGGCCCGTTCTGGAAACCAGCGACCGCAAGATACAGTTCATTGGTGTTTAAAAATCCTATAATAGTCACGGACTCAACTTGATTACTTATTCATTAAGTTTGCATGTATTGATTGTGCGGAGGCAGCAAAACAGGGAGTCGCAAATAAAGGACAAGGACACTGAAAATGTGGGTTTTATGTCTAATAGCCAGCCCATAAATACTGTCTAACCATTGTGGTTTATATGACACTTGCTCCCTTATGGAATGACGTTGCTTCTTGGATAACTGTGGAATGACACATTTAAATTTTTGCAGGTAAAGTCACCAGTACAAATCTTTGAATACAAAATACAGAGACATTGATTTAAAACCTTCCACAGTAAGTTGTAATAACCAAAGCTTCACCATACAACGTTTTACCCCTCTGTGAGACTGATCACTGTCGAGGGATAGATAATCAGCCAAACATAATTATATAAAAATTGATTTCACTCCTGTAACAAAGAGAGGAAACTTGTTATTGCAAACTCCTAAGGTGTAATTTAGCATTTCCTGCTGTGTATCACAGTGGGACATTGCAAAACAGTAAACAAATACCTTCTTAACTATGTAGCAGACAGGGAACATGGTGAATTGGCTGCCTAGTGGTAGTTTGTTAGCTGCTCACAGTAAATAGCTTTTAGTTATGCTGCAATATAGAGCTCACACACATGCCAAGATGACTCTCAGTGACTTTGACTGCTAAAAACCTGACTTTTTAATTACATTACAGACACACAACCTCAACAGGAGAGCATAGACATTCCCCAAATTGTACGTGCATCTGTGACAAACAAACAACCAAGAGCATGTTCAGTCCTACGATACATAAAGTTTAGGTGGGACTGGGACGTCATGTTTAGCTCTTGATTCGATACCATCATGATACTTTGGTTTCAATTCTATATATATTGCTATTCTACAAGTACCGTGACTGGATAGTACGATTTATTGCGATTTTTGTTTGCTTTTTTAACGTTAGGCCCTTGAATCATACACTTCTAGAGATTGTATAGCTGACTGTAAAGCAATGCACATCATATGTCAGTCAGTCCTTCTTACTTTTATTTTAGCACCATCATACACTGCATACTTATACTACAAAGAAAAGTGATGAATAACTGCTCTTATGGTCTTATCTTAACAATTATTTTATTCATTTATCTGTTCAATATTTTTTTATTTGAATTCATTATACTGAAGCATGTGACCTTGCTCTGTG